AGCTTCGGGTAGTTCTTCAGACATTTGGGCTCGAACTTGACCAGTTGCATCAACAGTTCACACAGATTGAAATCCGGATATTTAATCTACAAAAGAAACCAATCATCACACATTCTGTTGTTGCCGAAAACAGTTTAGTCGCAAATAAGGCAAAAACTGTCTACTCTTAAAAGCTGTTGCATTTTGGCATTATTTATTGCTTCCACAGTTGTCAATGGCTATACCACTAGTCAGAAACTCACCGATATAGGCAGTGATGCGACTAGTTAGCCTGCAATCTCCTCACAAACCACTTCATCTAGCAAACTCGTCACCGGCAAATTTTGGAAACGGCAAGATCTTTTTTGCATAAGAAAGAAAGCCTTATTACTGCGCATGCAAATTTACCGTGTGCCAAGGATGTAATCAACAAATTAGCTTAAGTCGCAACTACAACTGCATTTTGCCATGATCTCAAGTTACAACGACTCGACAGTTCTTAAAAACATAAAAGGATAGTGCAATGACTGTTACCTTGTCTCCAGTCAGCCAATGCTTCTCGCCTAAGTACTTCTCAAAGCCTTCTAGTTTCTGAGGCAGTTTCTCCAGGAACCCAGGTTTCAAGTTCTCCTGTTTAACAAAACATCATTCAAGTGACTTTATCATGATTATAACCACTGTGCACAATTTTCGTTCAACATTCAGATGTCACAAACTGTGGAGCATTTGCTCAATATAATGCAACTCTTGCGCTATACGAATCTCGAATCCAACATTTGTCTAGAATTTACTAGGGTGCAATCACATTACAATTAGGCACACACAGCTCCTACTTGGGAACTACATTTAAACTCTTATCTATTAATGCGGAAGATCACTATTGCAATACGGAAATTACGAAGACCCTATCGTGAACAAAAAGAGTGATTTAAATCTACACCACTTTACGGTACAGCAGACACTTACGAAATCCGGGTTGTAACACAATCCGACAAAGCTGGAACGCAAATCCATAATCTCACTTTGAAGCATATGCAAGATCGCACGTCTCTTGGGGCAACTTGAAACTGCAAGACAAGCAAAATGGCGTCTCTTTGGGTGCAGTCTTTGCATTTACGGGTGTAAGGTAAATCGTCTCCAAACTCATATTCTCGTGATGTCAAATAACAAACACTCCTCAATTTCAACAATCACACTACCAATCGATTTGTTCTAGCACACAAAAAACATAATTGAATCAAATATCACTCCAGCCACTCACCAAATCACCGTATATTTATGAATGTTGTTTTTTTGCGTACACTTAACACATTGACTTGAGCTTTTGACAAAATAACATAACCCACATGTGCTACCGTTTTACGTCCTTAGACATTTATGCCAATACTAAGCTGGCTGTTGGCTTCACTCGAAATGGCAATAACAAGTCACTCACCCATTCCGTGTTTATCAGCAATGTACTCCAGGATAGCACTAGATTGGGTCAGCTTAACGTCTCCGTCAATGAAATACGGAAGCTTGACAAATAGTGCTTGTTACAATTGGAAACTTACATTAGGAAAATCAAGTCCTAGAGAATACTTGACTGACAACCAGTCACTGAGGTCAAATGTGGGAGCTAGATAACGATCAGTCAATGTGAATAACTCACCAGGACCGGCTTTGTATCGTTTGTCTTTAAATTCCTCTCCAACATAGTGCATAAGCATTCGGGATGCCTCACAAAGCTAAAAGGTTTAAATAAATTATTAGTAATAATATTCACAAAATTTTATTTACTAAATGTATTGAAAGTATTCATCATTTGAAGGAATGCATCATCAATTTCTTCTTTCAATTGCTTTGAACAGCAGCAAAGTAAACTTGAGGGAAGCTCAAACCTATATTCCTTACACATTTATGAGTTACGCGACTTGTATTCTACCTGCGCCTAACACAACGTCTTTTTAACTGCATTAATACAAATCTTTAGAAATGGATCTTTATACATGAAGGTGCTGGTGCGGTACTCAAAGGGTCTCGAGCTGAGAAGAACATCGCTACATTACACCTATACCACTTACTTCAATTTTTCGAGTTTAAAAAAATTACTTACTCCTCTAATATCCCAGTATGCCAAGATCGGCTTCATGACTCCAAAGGCAGGACACAATAATTGACGTTTGTTTTCCCGCCACAAACAACTGGTACCAATTACTATTGTAGGTCATTAGACTTTACAAACAATGTGAATTTCATGATTTCAGGACCACTTAAATATTAATTCAGCCCATTTTTCCTGTGATATTTTAGGATGTTCTGCATGGTTTAAAGTTGAGGCAGATATGTTCTATATGAAAGACGATGTGGATATGACATCAAAATAGTCCTTTGACAATTGAAATACAAATAAAGAGTTAGACTGACATAGATTGCACAGCAGATTGCGGTCAACTGCGGTTTCTGTGAACGTTCCATTTTCTAATAGTACGTCGAAAAAAATGCTAATCACTATTCGATGTCTTAGAAACCTGAGAGAAATGTGTACATCACGAACTTAATGCAAATTCCAAGCAATATAGATACTTTAAACGCAAAGCTGAATCGACTTTAGATTTCAAAATCTAAAAGTTGCAAAGTAAAACCTAACAGAGCCCCTGCTTTACTGACACTACTAGATAGGTACGTTTCGGATGTCTACTTTGCGGCAAACACTGAAACTCACAGTCCTGCAGACCCGATTAAGCTGCCTGCCAATAACCCCATTTCATTAGTCATCCTTTGACAGCATTAGAAGATTACTGTTGAAACTGGTATTTGATAAGACAAGTTAACTCCCGAAAATAGATGACGTTACTAATGCCTCGTGTATTTTACATACTATTAATAAATTCAACAATTCCCATCACTTAAACTTTTAAATGCTACGCTAGTAAGATCCTATCAAGCAGTTTACAGAAATTTTATTTTTTTACGGATATCTTATTCAAAATTTAATCTAATCACAAATTTTGGCTTTTGTGCTTATACAAAAGTTAGAATCCCCGTAATTCTTAAATCGTATTTAATCACGGACACATTGATTATCCCATGCTACTTTCTGACACCACGCGCCTCTTTCGGTTCTCCAGGATACTACTTACAGGCGACGACTTCAAATGTTGCCTTGACCTGCCTATTAAAAGAATCTCACAGCTCTGGTATCATCTGTTTTCAAGTACAATCTGGCTGTGACTTGTCACAGCCGTGGCATAATGTTGGCGATCACATAGAACGCAATAAAATGCGTTCAATTTGCTGATTAGCTGTAAAATAATTGTAGCGAGATTTACTGAATCTTCAGACCCGCGGATAATCCCTTTGGTTACTGAAACCCAAATATGAACGATTTCCTATGTTGCAAACAAATCTGTCCGATGCTGATAGCAATTGACCACACAAGTTACTTAACAGGGCTTAGCAGTCCTACTTTAATCTCTAATGCAGTATACCAGTTACTAAGCTGCATTTTATAGTTAAGCTAACCCATTTTACTATCTTGTTCCACAGGGGCAAATCAATGTGCTCAGTTAACTCTACTTTTAGTTGTTTATGCAATGACAGCACAGTTCTACTGATACTTTTTTGCTTGAGTTCAATGAATTTAAACTAATTCATTGGACGCTTATCAGTATGGTCTTTTTAACTTAATTTCAGGCTTGCGACCAAGATAATAACATTAGGATATTGGCATACCAAAAAGAATTGTGTGCTGTACAAAATATTTGGGAAAATATGATAAGAATGGAGTAGTTTTATCAATCAATTTAAGTTGTACAATATCGAAAAAAATCATGTAATATATTTTAGGCACTTCTCAGTTGTTGTTTTTTAGATATCCTACATTTTATAGTATTTCTTTTGCAGGTTTTTTGTTTCACCATAACTGGGATTGTGTACCGACCAGCAGAGATGTGAATCTAGTAAGTTTGAAAAGTTTTGTTTCCCTCTAAGTTAAAACTGGTTTAGAAAGCTACAGTAAAATGTTGAACAAATGGAACATTTGTTACCAAAGAGAGAGAGGTTCCAATATGAATCGCCGACCGACAGCTGTGCCAACATCTGATATGGCCGCATCATAAGATCGTAACTGATCAAAGACATGCTACTTCCAAACGCCATTCAATGTCGCTTGATATGTGGTAATTGTAAAATGAATTGATTTTAAGGCAGGCCTTCCACCCGTCCACGGTGAAAAGTTCTTCACCTCGAGGGCTATCAATCCTTTCGTCAAACACAGCTTTAAAATTGTAAGTTTACTTCCTCTTGGACCGAAATTATTGGACACATAAAATGTGTAGCAACTTGTAAGGCATTGCATGTTCATACAAATTCACTTAGTTACGTGAACATTTTTTCAGCCATGATGCAAAACAATGGATCTGTAACAAATGAACTTGACCAGTTCCTGAGCACAGCCACATTAGTAAAAGCCAAGTGCCTAGCTTTCTCAAAATTGACCATTTGTTGGTACTGTAAAAACAATATTAATGCTCCTTTAGTCTTGGTGTTGTCACGGCTAATTTGCTTCAGAATAGGACGTAAGGACCAAATTAATCAATCACGCAAAACACTTTTTATTGGGTAAGTGGACATCACTGGTAAACGTGGATGAAGTTGGTTTAAAAGACACAGCTGCTTGCTGTCATTCTGACTTTCAGCGTGATAGAACTCGCCGTCAACCACCATTAATTTGACTTGACCTCACTAGCTGCTTCATTAGTTAATCAATTGAATGCACTTAATCCACTCTTCTCTCTCGTTCTCTCTTAGCCAACTAACCACACAAAGACAGCGGCCAGCCTACGTTCCCTGCAGTGAACTGTCCTCGAACGAGCGTGAGTGAAGCGTGTTCGCGACTTGATCGAATGCTATCGGTCGTTGACTACAGTTGACTGTCGATATTCACTCAAGCACTTACATAGAAAGACACTTGGGTGGTCTAGCGTTAGAAATTGCAATCTTCGGATAGTTACGGTGTTTTGAGTTAGTGCAAGCAAAT